ATTTACATAGGCCAGTTTCTTTATACAAATGCTAACACATGAAAAACACCCAAAACCAAAGAGGGTTACCATTAAGGTATGAACCCAATAAAACAAATAAAACTACAAAAGGTACAAAGAACATGTAGCTATAGGAAAAAATAATAGTGTAAATAGCAGTATATAAACTGGCCCATGTAAAATACAAAAATATTCACTGAAGTCAGGCTTTCTATAAAACAGTGTTTATTAGAGGTATTTTACTATGAATCAGGCATATAATCTGAATGTAGAAACTTCTAGAAATATTAACAGCATTCAGTCAGTGCCACGCACTTGTGCTTCCAATTATTTTTTTTAAAGCTGCTTTGTTTTGACTCATGTGAAATAGTTAAGGCCTACATTCTTATACGCATTATCCATCTTATAAGGTTAAAAATTTCACACTAAAACACGTTTAAATAAAAAATAATTTTGAAAAATCACATCTTATTTAATCTTTAAGAAGTGTTTTAAGCTGGTAATGCCACTAGCTGTAGCTCTAAGAGAGGGGTTAGTCAGGAATCTGATCTTGAGCCATAATAGTTTTCAGGCTAAACAAATAACAAATTTAAGTGACAGAAAATATTTATAATTCCAATATAACTCAGTTATATTGTTATAGAAATACACATGCTAGCATGCAACTGCCTATATATGTGTGCATATATATACATCTGTATGTGTGTATTGATCCATTCAATATCAGAATTTCGAAACCCAGATATTTTCTCATTTTCCAGTGAATGGGAGGCACATAATCCACCCCTCCAAAAAACCCCCAAAGCAACCTTTCATATATGGCTGTATATTAACAATTTTAATATTTGCTCATACATTGCAACACACACCAAAATACTTCTAGAAGCAGCAAGAAATATTTGATGTGTTAACCATCAAGCTGATGTATTTTGCTTTCTCCTATGGTGCATCTCTCAGAGCACAAAACTAAACACAAAGTACATGAATTAATACTGAGTCTACCATAACGAATAATAACAATGAAAGTTTTGATTAGCACAGAAGCATTTAAATGTGAAGTCAAATTAGCAATGTTGTAGCAATCAGTGCAAGCTGGAAACAAAGAACAACTTTTTAATGGATTAAGAGAAGACCAAGGCTTTTAAGTTAGAAGTAAGTTTTTGTTTTTTTTTTTTTGAAACGGAGTTTCGCTCTTGTTGCCCAGGCTGGAGTGCAATGGCGTGATCTCAGGTCGCTGCAACTTCCACCTCCCAGGTTCAAGCGATTCTCCTGCCTCAACCTCCCAAGTAGCTGGGACTACAGGCGCCCGCCACCATGCCCGGCTAATTTTTTGTATTTTTAGTAGAGACGGGGTTTCACCATGTTGGCCAGGCTGGTCTCAAACTCCTGGCCTCAAGTGATTTGCCCGCCTCAGCCTCACCGTGCCTGGCCTAGATGCAAGTTATTTTATAAGTATAAGTGCACTTCGTTATCTAGGTTCTAGGACATACTGGCATTTCTTAAGAAAAAGATAAGAATAAAATATATCACTACCAACAAGAAATACTGGAAGGCTAAAGAGAAATCTGCATAATTTTAGTAATGCATGCAGAGGCCAATTTATGAGCACAAAATACTAATGCCCTCAATTGGCACTGGCAAGCAATTATCTCTAAAGCACCTAAAAAAATGGATTGAAATGCCCAGTTGGAATAATCTCATATCTTGCAATTTAAAATATTGAAATATCCAATTTTTAAAAAAAGAATTAAACAATAAGATTAATACCTATTCTAAATTTTAAAAGGCTTTTGTATCTTTTGTCATTACAGCTACATAAATACAAATGTATTCAAAACCCATTAGAAAAGCATTTATTGCTAAGAATATAATAATACCAGCCCCTGTTCCAATCTACTAGTATATCTCTCATAGGTCGAATATGCAGCAATGTCAAATTAGCTAAGTTAACCTGCAAAAAAAATCACAAAAAAAAAAAAAAAAAACAGAAAAAAAAAACACCAAAAAAAAAAAAAAAAGCAAAAGGAGCAAGTACAAATCCACTGTAGAACATGTTGTTCCAACTCGACTACATGCAGGGAAAAACATATCTTTCAAAAATTGTTTTTTCTAAACTATTTTTAGTCTGAATGTCTAAAATGAAAACACTGAAATACTACTCAAGACAGTAAAATAGAACCTATAATCCAGTGATTTTGTACATCTTTTGCTGTAGAAATAACAGTTTTTAATTTCTTGGTTGGAGAAACCAAAATCAGGCAACTAATTTGTAGTTTATAGTTTTTTGTTTAAGTTTGAAATCCCCCATACTACCCATTCTAAGAGCTGGACTGCAACTAAATATACCTTAAATTGACCAGTATTGCATGTTGGAACTTGTACTTGCTTTTTTCTTTTGTAACAGAGATCACGTATGGATTAGTGTTACAGAGTCTGATATCCAGCATAACTTTTTCTTCTGCCAATTAGGTAAGCAATCACTATAACGATAATCAAGCCTGAAAGACCAGCACCAACTATAATTGGGATTAGAATGGTGTCATCATCCAGCGAACACTCTTGGGCTGTAGGTGAGAAAAAGTGTGTAACAAATAATGAGTATAATCAAAAAAGAATGTCCCAAAGTAAAAGATGTTGATTCAAAAGTCAGAAATGTTCTTACAAGATCAACTTCAAGTAACTAAGACAGGTATACTTTTATGATCAAGCTATAGAAAATTGGGAACTGTTCTAGAATTAAAATCCTAAGACTTACTTTGTCATTTCATTTGTTTATGTGTATATATTGCAGATATTCATATATATGAATACACATATATTCATTTATATCTATAAACACAGCTCATATTATAATGTGTATATGCACACATTATATATTATATGTGTACATATTATACATACGCACATGTGTATATATGTATATGTATATGCACAATTATATATAATATAGTGTACATGTAATATATATATACACACATGTGTATATGTTTGTTTATATTCCAAATCCTTTCCAAAAGAGGAGTATTACTTTATCAGAAATAAAGGGAGCTAATCTAGCCCACTTTCACATAGGCAGATTAGCTCTCAGTGGTAGAGTGAATGTCTTTTGGGAAAGTGGAAACAGTATCAGGGAGGTATCATGTGATGAGAATAGCCAGGCTGGCCTGGAGTCCCTTTAGAGTAGGGGGTCAGCAAGCTGTAGCCCATGGGCCAAATCTGGTCCAAGAGCTAAAAATGGCTTTTATATTTTTAAATGGTTGAAAAAATATTTTGTGACACATGAGAGCACATAAAATTCAAATTTCAGTGTTCATAAATAAAGTTTTATTGGATCACAGCCATAGTCATCTGTTTATGTGTTGCTGTTTTTGTGCTACAATAGCAGATTTGAGTAGTTACAACAGAGACCATATGGCTCCAAAGCCTAAGACACTTACTGTTTGGAACTTTACAGAAAAGTTTGCAGATCGTGACTTAGAAAATATGATTTTAGTGGCTGCAAAGTCAAGAAACTGGGACCTCTTACTAATTTGAGTGTGCTTACTGCATTTCTTATCTGGTCAGGGGTGGCAGCCTAAGGGGGCTATTTTCTTCTATTTCTAGAGAGTGGTCTGATCCAGTAAAATCCAATCAACACTCTTCTACCTTACTGCAATTCTATTTCTTTCCCCATACAGTCAAGTATTACCTATGCATTGCATTTATAGATACCCACAGCCAAGAACCTAGTTCCACAAATGGATTATATATTCAATATCAGTATTAAATGCTGCATATCTCTTTGGGTGATATTTTTAATTCTATATACATAAAAACCAAAGTTTCAAATTAAGAGAAAGAGCATAGCTCATCTCTATTACAGCTGACTAGATAAACAGGCTTGAACTGATGATACTAATACTGCAAATAATTTTAAACTATAAACACAAATCTGGACTTAAAATTAGGGGAATAATGAAGGGGAGCCAGATAAAAAGTCCAAAAATAAAGCTAGTAAAGGATCAAAATAATTGAAGTACATAAGCAAAACAGGCAAAAGGTAAAATTAATTATTAAAAATATTTTTAAAGTGTAACTAACATCTTCAGTCACAAGAATGGTAGGGTGGAGACCTCAATTTATTGTAATCTAACCAAGTCAGACTAAGTAGTCAACACCACTGCAAAAGCAGTTGAATGGCTCACAGTATATTCGCTTTTAAACACAGCTTTCACATTTCCTTCCAAACCACACAATTAATGGTTAAAAACGATGTGGATTATTTGAATAGCTCTGCTCAACAGAGTTGTGATCCACAAACCCCCAGTTTTAGGTAATGGGCTTAAAAGGACAAGTCAATTAAGGAACTTTATGTACTTTTTTTCTTCATGCAAATTTTAATCTTGTAATGCTAAATATGTCTTTCATATTCGTATGAACACATTATAATGAGCCCTTCACAAAGGTTTCATTAAAAATCTAATAAATACCACCATTAGCCCTGAGTGATCTTCAAAAAGCCTCATTCACACTGGCACATGCTTTGAAAACTCTCCAGATCACATTGGCTGGCAAAAATACAGTTCATGATATCTGAGGCTTTGCTATCGCTCTTTATCTTTGTCTTAACAAAATCAGACCAAACTGCTTTCATTCAGGTATGAAAATGTTTCCAGTGAAAAGATGGCCCCAGGAAGCAGATGCAAGATGCTCAAAATTGCCGCTCCCAAGTACCATCTTCCCTACAAATGAAAACCTGTACTTCAAATAAAGCTTCTATCAGTTTTTGGCTTTAAGAATTTTGTTGCAAATGATTTTAAGATTAAAAAAAAAAAAAATCATCTCAGTTGAGCAAAATGATGAGCCAAATACAGAGTTGCACAATTTGCTCAAGGCTATGAGACCTCTGGTGAATTCATATTCCTCTATTTCAACGTTTAAATGTCTATGATTCAAAGGAAAAGCTACCTATCAGTCAACATAAGAACATAAATTATTAATGAAGTTTGCTTGATTCTTACCTGTAGAATACTTTCCTTCTATCACATTGAAAGGCTGAACCCTTAGATCAAAAGTATTTATCTGAAATGCTCCAGACACTGAAACAGTCTGCTCTTTGTTGCACATATAAGAACTTCCCAGGGGGGCATCCCAGTAGCTGAGATTGTTATTTGCAATGCTGAAAACTTCAAAGAAAAGAAACAGGTTAGTAACTTCTTATCCTATCAACATCAAAAATGGGAAAGGGCCAGGTATACTGGCTCACGCCTGTAATTCCAGCACTTTGGGAAAGCCATGGTAGACAGATAGTGTGAGCCCAGGAGTTTGCGCCCAGCCTGGGCAACATGGTGAAACCCTGTTGCTACAAAAAATACAAAAAAAAAAAAAAATTAGCTGGGCATGATGGTGTGCACCTGTAGTCCCAGCTACTTGGAAGGCTGAGGTGGGTGGTTGGCTTGAACCTGGGATTAATCTGTGGTCGCACCACTGCCCTCTAGCTTGAGCACAGCGCAAGATCCTGTCTCAAACAAACAAAAAAGGGACAGTCCTCAGGGTTTTTCAGAGAAGTATGGGAGCCTGGGGGACAAGATCAACCCACAAAAAGGAATTTTTACCATCACTAGGTTCCCTTATCTTTCTATAGATGTTTCTATAGTCTAAAAATCAGTCCTATCCTTAATTATTATCTGCCATACTTTGAAAAGATAAGATACAGGAAAAGAACATCATAGTTCTAAGTTACTGATTTTAAGGTATGATCAAGGTACACTTTTTACATAGCATCTTCTGTCCCATTAAATAAGGCACTATTTGGTAATAAGACCATTATGATTTCTAATCCTTCAGGGTAACCCATACTCTTTTTTCCCCAGACCAATGCTTTGCTTACCAGAGCCATTAACCAAATTCACGCTGACGTTCACTTCCTTCAGATAGAATCGGTTTTCATTTTTCTGTTTGAAAAAGAGCTTCCAGTTAATCAACATATGACAACTGTCTACAGATAACAGATACAGTTAATATCTACAGAAAAAAATCAATCTAACACTATCACACAGAAGAAAAAACCATGCATTAAAATAAACTGCAAGCAAGTAAAAGAGAACTCAAAATCTAACAGGAACCCCTTTCCTCTATATTTTGTTCCAACTTTTGGAGCATAGGTGTAGTCATGTGGATCTTGGACACTTGAAGGTTTATCCCCTCAATTTTATTCCTCCTGTCACTTGCTGAGCCTTCACCACCTCTAGCCTGGATCACAACAGCCTCTTAAGTGGGTTCCTCCAGCCTAATCCTCCCTTTTCACTGCTATTATCTTTCTGAAGTACTCATCCGATCAGCCAGTCGTTCTTACCATTTCAGAGTGCGAATACTCCAGGAGCTACCAAAATGAACCACACTTCAATCCTGCCTTTACCCTGTTTGCAATCTGCCAGGGAAGCTGAGATAAACACATAAATAACCATATTACAAAAAAGGAAGTGAGAAGTTATGAAAATAGGAGAGAAATCACTTCCAACTAAGGGAGGAGAAAAAGTAATGCCAGCTTAGGGATGGGGCATTTTGAACTGGGCAGGATTCTCTTAGGAAAAATGTAGGAAAAGGGGTATTTGAGAGAGCAACAGCATAAATAAAGGCAGTTAGAAAATAAGCATAATCACAAGGTTTTATGCTAGCATTTGAGTACTTACTAAGTGCCTAGCACTGTTCTTAAAACTTTACATATGACGCTTCGCTGAGTAATTACAATACTCCTATGCAATAGGTGCTGTTATCAGCCCCATTTTGGGATGGAATAATTGAAGGACAGACATGTTAGGTAACCTTCCCCAAAGCTACATGGTTAGTAGTCAGTGAGCTAGGATTTAAATCCCAAAAGTATGGCTGCAGAGTCTATGTAATGATGATTAGTATGTTCTCCTACCTCACAAGAAGTACACAGAGGACAGGGTGAGGGAAACACCCTGAATGAACTGTAGGAAGACTAAGGTTCATAAAGAGAGAGTGAAGGCTAAAAACTCCGGCTGCGTTGCAGGGGAGAAAGGAGGGCTTGAACTACCTGGCCATGGACTTTAGATGTTACCTTGTTGGCAAAAGAGAAACATTGATGGTTTCTGAGGAGAAATGTGCTTTAGGACCGTCAAGCTGATACAGAACATTGGAGAAGGTGAGGAAGAGGAGCAATCAGGCAGGAGCTGTTTGAATGGTCCAGGTGAGAAGTAATATGGACTGGACCCAGAGCAAAGGCAATGGAGAGTAAAAGCTAGGGGACAGACTTGAGAGAAATTTCAGGAGGAAGCATAAAGGAGGACTTCATACCCTCATCACCTCCCTCCTCTACTTTGGCTACATCTCGGCTTAGCATTCAAGACTCTCCACAATCTGTCCCAATGACTTTTCCATACTTCACCAAACATATAACACTCCTCATTCTTCCAGCTGCTCCTGATTATGCCCTTTACCCAGGGATAATTTACACTTTCCCGCTTACTCTCCTTATCTCCCTATATACAAATCTGACCCATCCTTGAAGGGCCAGCTCAAATGCCATCTCTGCCATTAAACCTTCCTGACTCTCCTCCAGCCAGAATGAGCCTCTCCCTTCTCCATTCTCCTGCAGCACTTTGTACTCTTCTCTGGTCTGGCATTCATCCCATTTCACATACACCTTCCACAGTACTCTACTGCCCACAGAACTGAGTTCAAAAGCCTTGGCATGGCATGTAGGCCTTTCACAAAAACGGTATTATTTGTGGATTTCTCCCATTACCACTAAGCTGTGGATGCTTTTAAGAATACTGACTTTCTTCTTCGTAACCTATCATAGCAGCTTGCATATAACGTGCTCGAATGCTATAAATTCTCCTAATGAGCATCTATCACGACAGGGTTAAAGGCAATAATGGGCCCCACTGAACTCTGGCGATACTGCAGGTGTCTCTTGATTTTTCACAGTGCCTGGAGCATGATTAAAACGTCACTGTTTTGGATTACATTTTAAAATAGCCTGCTGGGTAAATTAAATATTGTAATTCTTAAATACTAAACATTGCCCTATGAGAGTCAAAAGAAATCATGTTCCTTTTAGGAGCCTACCACAGCCAGAAAGATCAATCACTTGAAAGGAATAAACCCAAAATACTACTTTCCTTGTTCATATTGACCATAACCTCTATGAGGTAACTTTAAAAGAGAATGTGCCTGGGTGCAGTGGCTCAAGCCTGTAATCCTAGCACTTTGGGAGGCTGAGGCAGTTGGATCACGAGGTCGGGAGTTTGAGAACAGCCTGACCAACATGGTGAAACCTTGTCTCTACTAAAAATACAAAAATTAGCCAGGCGTGGTGGTGCACGCCTGTAATCCCAGCTACTCAGGAGGCTGA